GATCCAGGTCTTTTGTTTGTGTCGTTATGTTTTTTTTTTGATTACCTGAAAAAGAAGGTATTCAGAATATTTGTTCAGTGGGTGTGATTGAGAGAGAGAGAGAGAGAGAGAGAGAGAGAGAGAGAGAGAGAGAGAGAGAGAGAGAATCAGAAATTTCTATTTGACATCAAAATGAAAGGTGAAAGAACAAGGTGGCAATCATGAGAACTTAGGTTCTAGTCCTAGATCTGCTTTTAATGATAATCTGCTTTCCTTTTCTCAGCCTCAGAGTCCCAATTTGTGAAAAATGAAGAGGGTTTTAGAAGTCAGCAAATTAAAATAGTCGGCAGTGGACCAAATCCAGCCACAGCCATTCATTTACATATTGGCTATGACTGCTTTCCTGCTTTAGTGGCAGAGTTGAGCATTTGCAGTTGCAAAAGAAACTGTATTGTCTACAAAACCAAAAATACGTATGATCTGGTCCTTTATAAATAAAGGACAGCCACTTGAGTTCTTCAGAGGGCCCTATGGTTAGTGAGTTGTATCAAATGGCTCCTCTTTTATGTGTTTTATATAATACGGTTTTACATAAAACTTCATTTAAAAATATTGCTATATCTTAGAATATACATAATTCGTGTTGTCTGTCTTCTCTGGAGAATGGGCCTCCTATCTTATTTATTTACCTCACTCCATCATCTTTTCACACTTGACACTTCACCATGGTTACAAACTTAAGATTTCTGAGCACCCCATGTTATTTCACCATTCCTTGCATGTACATGTATGCAAGACATAGAACATACAATGTGTATAGTATCCATAGGATATTAAATGATTTATCTTTCTATGTCATCACTGTTCAAGGAAGTAAAAGCTTCACATGAAAAGTTCCCAAAACTAAGGTTGTAGCTCAGGTCTAGAGATGAATGAGTTCTTTATAAATTTTGGATATGAACATCTTATCAGATGTATCATTGGTGAATATTTTCTTCCATTCAATAGGTTGTCTTTTCATTTTGTTGATGATTTCCTTTGCTGTGCTAAAACTTTTTAGTTTGACATAGTCTCATTTGTTTATTTTTTCTTACATTTCCCTTGACCGAGGAGATATATCCAAAAAGAAATTACTAGTAGCAATATCAGTGAGTTTATTGCCTATATTTTCTTTGAGGAGTTTTATAGTTTGGGGTCTTACATTTAAATCTTTAAACTATTTTGAGTTTATTATTTATATTTTTAAATATGGTGTAAGAAAGTGGTCTAGGTTCATTTTTTTTGCACTTATTTTTCCAGTTTTCCCAACACCATTTATTGAATAGACTGTCTTTACTCCATTGTATATTCCTGCCTGCTTTGTCATACATTAAATGATCATATAAGCATCGGCTTACTTCTGGGTTCTCTATTCTGTTCCTTTGATCTATGTGTCTGCTTTTATGTCAGTATCATGCTGTATTGATTCTTATAGCCTT